TACTGAGGGCTTGGGCACAGTCCCATCACATGGTGGGGTTTCATTTTGCTCCATTATGAGCGTTACCGCTCTGGTGAGACTGTTTTAGTCACGGCTTGCACGACTGTCATTCTCTGTCCCTTTGAAAACTCATTTCATGGTCCAGTAGAGCAGAGTTTCATCCAATAGCACTCTGACTTGGTGGCTTCAAAGTGTGGTGCCCACCCCCCGGCTGGGCTTGGGGCAGTAATGCTTAACAATCTGGTAGTTAAATTAGAAACAACAATAACATGACCGGCAGGTTTGGTCAGATACCCTGACGATCCCCAACCCTCACGCTGCAAGTGGAATAGGTGAAAAGGGATGGATAGGTTTGTGATTCTTCTATAGGGTTCCTGCCTTGTCTTCTACAGCCAGACAGAACAAGAAAACTCACTTAGCCATGGACCAAAGTACAACGTTATGATTCGGAAAGCTTGCGCTTTGTAGACCACCTCTCAAGGCTCAGTGCTAACAGGCTAGACATAAACTGGAACAATTAATTCTAAAATTATCCCAAAGGCAAACCTTTTTTCCAAAGGTCCAGGTTGGTTTCATGTCTGGAGTATGTGCTCAGTTTTTCTTTCAAACAACGAAATTATATATCCTGCTCTGGCCTCTGGGACTCCTGGATCCCCAGAAATGGAGCGTCCTAACTCGTGTCTGTCCCCTTTCCAGGGTAGCTCTTGCGTGAGTGTCCCACTGTGACGAGGCAGCGGACTTGCAGAGTTCAGTACCCTCAGATGCTCCAACCGTAGCAGCCTGGTTCCCGGTTCACCTCAGGACAATGCAAACTGAGCTATGCATTTACTGTAATTCTAATCAGATGACTCTATAATTGGAAGAACACCAGTGGCGTTCTGTCTTTGGAGTCTTCTCCATTAAGTGACTGAACGAGGGCCAGGGGACCTTTGTTTGTCCCAAATGCGGTCCTGATAGAGACTTTGGGATCTGGGTACTACGTTCTATTCTGTAATAGGACCAAGTTCTTTCTCCTTCCTTGGTAAGACACTAAATCAGTCTGGAATTGGCACATCAGGTGTAGAGAGGTCATTTCCCCTCTACCTCAGTAAATTCTGGGCAATTGCCCTTCTAACAGTAAGGAAATAAACAAAGTATGTGTGCATTTTGGCGGGGGGGTAGGGGGAGAGTCTGTGTAAATGCTTGATGATAGTGACTGAATATGTTAGCTAAACACTTCCAAGTCTAGATCCTAATCGTATGTGGTAATGGTTGTCTAAATAACAAGAATGATAATGTGAATTTCTTAATCGCGCGGAACACCTCAATTACAGACAGAAAGAAACATTAAGGATAAAGGTCTTGAGGAATCCGTTTATGGTAGAAACTTTGCAAAGTATTGCGTGGCTTTGGGAGATATAGACATGAATCAGACCAGACCCTGACCGTGAAGGGCACACAATTTCGAGAGGAATTATGCTCATAAAAATTATAATCCAAGATGGAAAGTGCGTGGCCTGGGGTACTGGCATTCAGAAAGAGGAACAATCACTCCCTGGTAGGAAGATCGGGCTTGGCTTCTTGGAAGAGGTGGATGTTGAGCCAGACTTCAAAGAACGGGAAGGATTTGGTTTAGGGGAACACCAGAGGAAGAGATCATTGCAGGAGCCAAGGTGAGAGGGGGAAGTGTGGGAATGTGTGGACTGGTGAGTGTTGTCTTTAGGCAGCCAGGATAAGTAAGGACTTCACCCCTGGGGTCAGTGATCTGGGTCACGTTCTCTACATCAGGGTTTCTCAACCTTTGCATGCAGACCTCTGGGGGTCTTATCGGAATATAGTTTCTGATACAGTGAGTCGGGGGTGGAAGCCTGAAATGATGCATTTCTAATAAACTGAGGTGATGCTAACACTGCTGGTTTCTGGACCACTCCAAACAATGTGGAATTGTTGAGGATTTTAAGCAGTAAGGAAGGAGCTCCTGCTATACCCAGCCTTACATTCCCTTTGACATTCTGAGGTTGCGCGCGCGCGCACACACACACACACACACACACACGTACGGCAAGCAGGACTCATGTGAGCATTTGCTTGTATCATCCTTTCCTCAGTTGTACTGACTCAAATAAAAATCCAGGTAGAAGGTGAAAGTGGACAAGGGACAGAAAGATACTAAAGACCTGGCTTCTAGAAACCAGATACGGCACAAACCACAATGTAAATGCCGTTTTGGTTTCACAAATGGTTTCTCCCCCTGAGCTGTTTATTGAAGGGCAGAAGCGAGCCGATGAGTGCCTTTATATTTGAAAGTGATTTAAATAGTGGCCCTCTGGCTCGGTCACGAATAGAATTTTATAATTAAACGATAATACTTTAAGCGTACTACAGAGAACGAATCAGAATTAGAGTCAACAGATCTGAACTTAAGTCCTTCAACCTCTCTGGGCTTCACACAAACCCCCTTATCTAGAACACAGAAGAATAATCCTTTCTCTGGTTGGCTCTCAGTTCTTCATAAAAATCAAATGAGGTAATGGGTAGGAAAGTGCTCTGTAGACTGACTGCCCCCCAGGTGAAGCGTCTTGCAGGTGTAATGGCCATCTCTTATTCCTACAGATGGGGACAATAGTCTTTTCTCTGTTGCTGCAAGTTGCTGGCAGAATGACTTAGCAGCTGTGGGGAGGGGCCTGTGATGGCCTCAGTGGCAAGGCCCCAGGTAACGTGGCCTGAGAGGTCCTCCTGCAGAGTTTGCCGCACCGTCAGAGCAGGATGCACCTGCTGTAAGGTCAGGCTTGCCCTTGCATCTGGCTGTGTAGTTTCCTGAGATCTCTGGGGAAGTGTTATCAACAGCAATATTGGTGTGCAAAGCATCCTCTGGGAGTGACTTCTGGGACCGGACTCAGGTGCCCACGAGCTCTTTCCTGAGTGGTGCCCTGTGTTCTCTGCAGCTTAATGAAGGTTTTTCTGGCCCCATCCCCCGGGCCAGTAACACAAGTAGGTAGGGATATTTGTTAGGTATGGGTAGAGTCAAGAGCATCAGCGCTCTAAGGGTTAACAGAATACAGGTGAGAAGGGGCTCTTTAGCAAGATAGGGAGGAGCGCTAACAGGTAGCATTCAGGGTGTGTGGGAAGGACAACTCCTGGAGCCAGGAGATAACTCCTGTGAGCCAGACCTGCAAAATCAATAACCGGGATCAGAAAGCTCACCTTTAGGGAGGGTTTTACTGCATTTCATATGTGATAGAACTGGGTGTTCTTAAAATAACACACTAGAAATAACTGTTGGGGATAGAGTTCAATCCCCTCGGTTTGCACATGAGGAAACTAAGGTATTTGGCAGGAGCTTGCCCTGGTTACTCTGAGTGAATTGAAGACCTTAGGTGAATGCCAAGTCTCTTGACTCGCTGTTGCTGTTGGAAAAGGGCCGTCCTTTTTTGCCTCTCCTGGCCTCAGTTTCCTCTTTTGGAAAATGAGGGGACGAAAGAGCTGTTTTCTCCTTCCTCTCCTCTTCTGGCTCGAATTTTCAATGAGTCCCAGGGACCCAGGCTTCCTTCTCAGCCAAGAACCCCTCCCCACCCTGGCCACGCTCCTGGGAATCATACCCTCCCCCTCAAATTCCCCAGGGAATCTGCAATAATGCTCAGTCCCTGCTCCCACACTCACTTTCACAAGAGGAAATCAATAGATTCTTCAAGCGGTTGGACCACAGGATGATGCCTGGGCCCATTTTGTCAACCAGGTGGCTCTAGTGAGGGAAGTTGTATGAGTCATTGTCGGCCAGAAATGTAAATCTGGCCTGAGGCTTCCCTTGCAGCAAAATTTAGGTCATTAATAATAGTGAACGTCTGTACAGCACGTTACAGTTACAGCGCACTTTACATACCTCATTTGTTTGTCACAGCTCTTCAAAGATGGAAGTGTTATTGTTAGTGTTTCACCGATGAGGAAAATAGACCCTGGAAGTATGGTAACTTGGCCAAGGTGGCAGGAAGTGTGTGAGTGGCAGACCTGGCATGTAGTTAAGACTTTGGACTTTACGACCCACACTCGATGCACTGCATCTCTTTGTATCAGGCTTCCTGTTGCCTACCCAGCCTCCTTGGAGATCAACAAAAGCCAGGAAGGTCAGCCTGCTCAGAGTCATTTACATGGAGATCCCTTTCTGAATAAGGGATAGTTGCAGCATCAGTGTGGGTATGACAATCCCATTGAGTGGTCTGGGAACAGACCTATGGAGCCGAGAGCCATGCCGTCTCTACCCTTGCCTCTTTCACCTTCTTTTCCTCACGGTGAAGCCCAAGCCTCCTGATTCCCAGACCGGGGCTTCCCCCAACCCCAGTGTGGCAAAATAGGAAACATAATTCAAACATGTAAAACGAACTGATGAGGACTGTAACAAACACCCGTTATTGTAAACTTTCCTGACGTCAGCCAAAAAATTCCAATTCTTCCCACTTCCGGGTTCGTCGTGCGATTATACTCCCTGGCCCCCCTTGGGTAGGGCAGGACCACATAACTAGTCCTGGCCAATCAGCTGTGAGAGGAGGTGACTTGGGCTACGTCCAGGCTGGACCATGCAATTGCTCTTTGTTTCCCTCTGGTACAGCCAATAGCAAGGAGGTCGTGGCCACTCTCAGTCTCGATCCTTGGGTGGCAACAGTAAACAGAACCCCTCTGCCAAGCCACCATCTACGAGGGAAAAAAGAAACTTTGTTTCAGGTCACGGAGGTTCAGGACTTTTGTTACTGAGGCAAGACCGAACCTATCCTGACCTTTACAATCATATTCCCATCACCCTGACTTTTAAGAATTCTAACATTTCCTTACACCTTTAGCTTGCTAAAGGAACAAACATTATCAAAGACAACGGAGTCCTTTTGGAGATCATCTTTCCCCAAGCCTTTTCCTTTTCCCCTCCCAGAGCAACTACCACTCCAAAGATGGTATATCTGTGTCCTGTCCATGGCTGGTACATAAGTATGTGGCCAAGACAATAGAGAGTACGGTTTCGCATCTCATATTTGCGTAAGCGGCATAATACCGATTTATTCTGCAAATTACTTTTTTCACTCAGCATTATTATTTTAGATACAATTGTATTGGTACATTGGTTTCATTCCATTCACTTTAGCTTCAATATCATATTCCTTTTTTATGAATGGGTTACAATATATTGGGCATTTCTCTACTAATGGAGCTTTAAAGTTCTTTTCTCGCCTGTAAACAATGATGCAGTGAACATCCCTGTGTAAAGCTCTTTGCATACAGACAGTTTCTCTCAGTTGTATATCTGAGAGTGGAATACCTGTGAGATAAGATATAGGTAGTCTCAAATTTGGTGGATATTACCAAATTTCTCTCCAGTTCTATCATCAGTGCATTTGTGCTTTGCCGTTGTTTCATATTCTTCACATAAACACTTCACATCATCAGACTTTAAAAATTTTGGCCAATGTGATGGGTGTGAAATGGCATCTCTTAATTTTCAAACTTGCATTTCTTTGATTATTAGCGAAGTCGAACATCTTTCCGTACCCTAAGGATCGTTTCCTTTTCTGCGATGTGCATGTTCATAAAGGCTGCCAATTTATTTCTGTTGTCTTTCCTTCTTATGGATGTGCAGGGGCCTCCTCCTTCCCCCATATTCTGGGTGTTAATCTTTTGCCGGTTACATAAGTTGTAAGTGTTAATTTTGTTCATTGCTCAGTTCTCATTCTCTTGCAAACCACTGGCTGCCTGCTTCTGCACACACTTGATTTTTGAGATCACAGCCATTCCATGGTGAAAATGGCTTGGAGGTGTATTTTGAAAAGCTTATGTGAATGAATGTTCCCTGACTCTGAATTATCTGTAGTAGGCTAAGGAATGTGTGTGTGAAGGGCCTATTTTGCTTACTCAGGGATCTCATTTGCTAATATAATTGTGTGGTGAAAGCAGAAGAATCCGGTGTAAGTGGAAAAAACCTTAGTCACCAAGAGTTGTTTGGGTGGCTCAGAGTTAAATATCAGGGTTGACTGGTTGCCCACTGCCATGATGAATCCTAGCGTGATTTACCTGGCTGTTTTGACATTTTGTAGACCCAACGTATGAAGAAGGGCATTTTAGAGAAGTTTCAAGCTCGTGTGGTCTTTTCTCCCCCTGCCCCACACACACCTCAGAGAGTCTACACAGGGGTGTACTCATTGGAAGGCTGGACACACTCATCAGAAGGTAGGGTGAAGCAGCGTCTTGGGTTCCAGCGCAGCTTTCCAATGGGGAGAGTCCCTTTAAAGCTTTGTTTATCTCTTGGTGCCTCGGCTAACCCCAGGAGAAAAACCTTAGCTCAGGACAGGAAGCTCAGAGAACCCAAAAGGATGACTACACAGCTCAGGACCATTTAAGTCTGCCTCTTACATGTCCTTCCATGCTATCCCCAGGAGGCTGGGCTGTGTTGGTGCTCTAAAAGCAGCCTAAATATACCATCACTCCCTAGGAAACCAATGGGTATGGCGGAGACCTAGCTCTGGGATAGCTTATGTTGGTAAAACTACAAATACAAGGATGAGCCAGAAGTGCTGTGGCTTAGGAACTACTTGCTTAAAAAAGACTTGATGTTCCCTAGTAGAACCCCATGGACCCAGGGGAGGTGGCCCGGGCTGTCTGGTTGACTAGCCAGAGAGCTGGGCCTGAGTAGCCAGACACACCTTCCGTTCCAGTTGACTCACTTGAGTGGCAAATTCTTCTCTCCCTCACAGTCCTCTCATCTTCAAAGGGAATTCATTAAGCCCCACAATGCCATCGGCACTCGGCCAGGTGTTGCACTGGCCCATTAGGTGGACACAGGCCACAGCCTCAGGGAGCGTGCCAAATGAGGTGGAGGGTGGCAGCTGAGAGCTGTTGACATCCCCCAAGATCGTGCTGAAGCACTTTCTATAAACCCTCCAGCGGTTTCAAACTCTTTGTTGTGTGGCTCTTAGAACACGTTATATTCTTCCTGCAGCCCCTCGCTTTAGCTCGCTCTGTTCCCTCTGCCCAGGATACTCTTCCACTCAATGCACTCAAATACCAACTCCTGGGTGGGGCCTTTTCTGGAAGAACGGACCGCTCTGAACTCTGTGTCCCCATTGCACTCTGGATCATTGTTAATATCACACGTATCATTTTTGTACCAGAGTCAGCTGCGTAATGCTAATCTCCCCTAATGGACTCAATTTCTTGGAAGTGGATACTCTGGCTTATTCATCCTTGTTTCCCTAGAAAAAAATTAGTAGGTCGTCATAAACGTGTTTTGGATTAAATGCATCAAGGGACACAACTCATGCTGCCATCTGATTCTACCCTGTAGTATGACTGGAAGCAGGCCCCGGCTCTCTGAGTCTTACTCTCCTTCTCTGTAAAATGGGTGAGGGGAGGATAAATTAGAAACGTGGCCTCTCAGAGGTTTTCTGGCTTTATTGTCTATGATTTTTAGACTCTGGTCTCCTAGTGGAAAACTGACAGTTCCTCATAACTCTGCAAAAACCAGGGTGATATTTTCATTTATATGTGTTAAAGGGACTAGCGTGTCTTCCCCACCCTCAGCTGTCATGGTTTAAACATGTGTGTTATTTAGCATCTTACAACTTCTCTGACTCAAGTTTCAAGAGGTTTATGGGATTGATTGATTGTAGGAAGCATACAACGTGCGTCTCCCTTGCCGACTACAATTGTTGAAGTAATTGATTCTTTAAAAAGAATTTCTGGCTGTATTTTCTAACGACTGTTGTCCGCCTGGGTGTATGTGGAAAGGGGTCACTGTGTGGCTGTGTATGTCGCTGCAGTGTCTCTCGTATCACTAACCTAGCCATGTTGTGTGTGCCCAGCTCAGTAGCACCTGACCCCCGAGTGCTACCCACTTCCCATGCCACCTCTCTGCCCCTTGAGTTATAGTTTTGGAGCTTCCTGCACGGACGGGACTCAGTACTCCTCATATCCCTATTTACCAGGTGCCAATAATGCACAGTTATGATCTTCATAAGCAGCCTATGAGCTGAGGAAGGACAGAGGTTATTATTGACCCATGTTGCAGACAGAACTGAGATTCAAAGAGGTGAAGTGACTTGCCTAAGGCCACATGGCTAAGAAGAACCTTCTGAGCCTGGCCTAGTGAAACCTATTGATTTTCCACTGTCCTAATTTTCATCGACTCCTCTGAAGATTGTTCCGATTGCTCCCGGGTTGCCTGACTGCTCTGAGGCCTGTTCCCTGGTGAAACCAGAGGCAGGTGATTCTTTTTTATTTATTTATTTTATATGGCTCCAGGCTCTGAGCCGTCAGCACAGAGCCCGATGCAGGGCTTGAACTCACCAACCGCGAGATCATGACCTAAATGGAAGTCGGACGCTTAACCGACTGAGCCACCCAGGCGCCCCAGAGGCAGGTGATTCTATCCGAAGGAAAGAAGGGGTCCTCGCCCACTACTAATGGCGTGGGACCAAGTGGCCGCACTCGTTAGTGAAGAGGGAATTCAAATTAGCTAGAACTGTCCATTTGGGGGTTTCTATCATTAGCATCTTACTATGCCAGTGAATGAGGTGTTGCAGCCTGAAGCGGGGCCTCGCTCTGAAAGCTTCAGAGGACCCACGGTGGGGAAGCATCCCAAGAGCACTGGGTCTTAGTGCTGATTGCTACAACTCCTGCTCAGAGGGAACACTACTTACTAATGCACCTCTCTGAGAGTCAGCATCGGTAGCCATGAAGCGGAGACAAGAAACCTTCCCCAGCTGACCTTGGGGGTGGCATACTGTGCTGGGGGCAGCGGTGCTCCAGAAGCTGAATGTTCTGGGTGAAAATCAGAGAGCATCACGTTTAGTCTTGTTGTTATCCTTTCTTAGCTATGAAAGGTCTCAGTGGAGGGAAGTAAGCCCAGCCTGGCGTTCTTTTCCTAAAAGTGGCTCCAAGAAACATTAGGCAAGAGGACACATAGCTGTTAAAGTGTGAATAACCACAGTTCCTGCCCTACCTGCCTGTCAGAATAGTGAAAGGGATTAAGTTAGATAGTGATGTAAGAGCACTTAGAACATACAACAGTTGCTCCTATTGTGACATATTCTTTTCCCTCAAAGGCTAAAGGTAGCCCTTGATAACCCGAAAGGACTTCTGTCCAAGCCCTCTATGATGCTATTTACGCTGTAGCCCTGCCTCATGTTGGGAGTAAATGGTGCCGCTCAGCTGAGCGGGCGGAAAGGGCTGGGCTGGAACTCCTCCGCTCACATTTTGCTCCTCATACCTTTTGGATTCTCATTTTGAATCAATGGCTCTAGCTTTCTGTAATGACCTGTAAGCTTCTGGCCCCCTTGGCTCTAACTGGTCCCAGAGGATCAATTCCCTTTCTGAAGAGGGCTGCTTCTGTTTTTGTTTTTGTTTTCTCTCTTGTACCCTGGGGAAAAATAGTTACTCTCATAGACTGTAAACAAAAACTCCTTCTCAGGAGTTTAAAACATGTTCGAGGTGCGTAGGGCCCAACCTCAGTGAAAACATACTTTCTATTTCCAAACAGAGGTAGAGGCAATTTCTACTATGGGACATACACTGAGGATGCCATATTGTAAATAAAAACCTAAAGCCCTGAAAATGGTAAGAAAGCAAATATGTTAGTTACAGGACTTAGTAGAGTTATTGCAATTGAGCGTTACATATAACTCTGAGCTTCCTGGTAGGCAAGGCGAAAAAAGGTAAACGTGATGACTGACATAATTTTCCTTTTCTGATTGAAGGAGGTGTCCTGATTGTTGGAATTCTTTTCTGGCACCAGTTTTGAAAAGGAATTCAATATTGGGTAATCCTCAGGGATGATGAACATGTCTATAGAAAGAGTTTTACATCTAATGCAGGAAAGTTCTGACATTTCCATCTCGTCTCCCTTTTTGAACTCCAGGCTCATAATAACTACTGATAAAATTTCTTTACCTACATATTCCAAAGCCACCTGAACATGTTCCAGACTGAACTTGTTAACTTCTTTCTGAAATTAGTTCATCCCCCTGTATTCATTATCTCTGTTAAAGCATCACATATACAAACTACCCTTGCCAGACAAATGTCAGCTTGTTTAGATGACTCGTCCCCCAACCTCCAGCCTATGCCTAGTCAATCATGGGGACTCTGTGTCTTTGATTTTCTTTAAATGCCTCCTCTCCTTTCCACTTCCAACACCATTACTTTGGGCCAAAGCTGCCCCATTTCTCACCTGGTCTACTGCAATGGCTCCTTAACTTGCCTTCTTATTATTCCAACCCGTTCTTCAGACTGCCTGTCTAGAGACTGGTCTATAAAAAATGCAAACCTAATCTTTCTCAAAACCTTGCCACGGCTGCACCTTGTCTTCAAGGTGAAGTCTAAACTCCTGACATGGCCGATGAGGCTCTTCACATGCTCACTTCCCAGCCCCAGCTGCTGCCACACCTCATATAGTCTCTAACACAAGACACTTGTTCTCTCAGGACACCCCCTGCTCACGTCTCTGTGCTTTGCACAAGCAATTCCTTCTTCCTAGAAATCCGCCTTTCTTTGGAAGCCTGGTGTCCTCCATTCTGGCAAGTTTTTCTGATCTCCTTTCAGTGTTCACCACAATTTGGTTCTGCTTCCTCTGTATCCCTCAGTACCTGGAGTATCTCACTTATACTTACCGTGTGCTGCTGTGACTGCTTAGCTTCTGAATTCTCCAAGAATATCAACTCCTTTAAGACAGAAATGCAATCCCACGCATCCTAGATTTCCAGCTCTGTGCACGTGCCTGACATAGATGGAGTCTGATGAGTTTTGGTTGACCGAATAGGTGGAGGGAAAAAAAATAGAATGCTGAGGTTGAATCTAGGGTGTGTTGACTAGTGACACAGGGATCAATGGACTTTTCCTTTAAGATATCTGGAGTGGGTAGACAGACTGTGTTGTAGGTAAATCTCTCTGAGATCATCTCTCCGCGCTAAGCTTTGGTAGGAGCTGGAGGCAGACAATGAATGATTTCGCTGTTGCAAAGCCCTCAGCGGCCCACCTACTGTGTGCCTGACCAGCGTACCTTGATCCCCCTGCGCGTGTGTGGGTGGATGGGGACAGTGATATTATATTAAGGGAAGGAAGAAGCCCATCCAAGAAATGGGTCTCTTGCACAACCATGGTTTCCTTTAAGAGGTATTGCTTTCTATCAAGCACCTGGCACCCCATCCATGGAGAACCCTTTCTTTGCTTCCCTCCATCAAGTTTTCCATCATAGAGGTTTTGTCCAGTGCATCTGATTTAACTGGCACTTGTTTAAAATGCATATTCCTCAGTGTTCCCCCTGCCGTCACCCCAAAAATACCCTGCCTCAAAGATGGTCTAAGTTGGCTGGGGAAATTTTTCGAGTAGTCCCCATTGCCTAGCTCCTTAGTGGTACTGTTACAGCTCTACATAGGCAGAACTTGGGCTCAGTCTTGCCTTTAACCTCCACGTGCTGTTTGATGTGGAGCTTTGTGGGCACAAGCAGTTTCCAATGCTCCTGGGCCTGGTACAATAGAGCTGAGCTACCCCACAGACCCCTGGGGGGCATTCTCGTGCCACACAGGCCCCACCTGAGAGTGACTCTTCTTGGCAGGGACACTGGAGGGTGTCTAGGTGGAGGGCGCTCGTTCCGGTGCAGGATCTGGCCAGCACAGCATAGGTTGATAATTATGATGAAAGGTAATGTCTCGCAATCACTATTTGAAACAAATAATAATAATTCACGGCCAAATAAGATTTTGCGGTTCTCAAAGCTCTCAGATTTGCATTATTTCCTGTGACCCCACGATAGTCCTCTGAGGCAGGACTATTCCCATTTTACAGATGCAGAAACTGAGACTCAGAGAGGGCAGTGAGGTGACCTGTTATGTCTAAGGTCACACAGATGGGCTTGCTACCGCTGAGTCTCAGGTTTTCTGGCTCCATTCATGCTATGTTCGAATGGATCAGCGTGCTTGCTGATCTCTTACATTATCAGATTTGAAAGTTGAGGAACATTGCTAAGAATGATAGCACTATATTTGAGAGCTCAACAATGTCCATCAAGAGATTCGCAGTTATGATTTGCTATAAAAATGCCAAATACAAAAATAAGAATTTCCATTCTTTTGATGATTGGAGGAGGAGACACTGTGGCTCTGTTAAAACGCTAGCCCCATGTGTCAAGAAGGCTTCCGAAGTTCATCATCCTCCTCTAAGCTGTCAGCAAAGTTTCCGTGGTGTGCCGCAGCTGGCTTGCCCCCATTAGTGAAAGCCAATCGAGAGCAACTTTTTTTTTACTTCATGGTTTAGTGATGTCACATTGCTAGCTTGAAATCAGCCATGGCGCAAGAATGTACCCCATGGAAATCAGCAAATGCTACAATTCAGGGCTTTTCCATCCCAGGGAACCAGGCATTAAACATTTACCAGCACGTCGCTGCTCACAGCTACCAGGGACTGACTCAAACTAGAAGTTCGAAAGTTCTCCTCTGTCATCTGCATGGGACCATCTTCAGTGTTGATTTTTCTTCTAACCACAAGTCATACCCCATTCATGGGATCATGCCATTCCTTAAATAGGAGGCTCTTTCTGTCCGAGCTTGCAAAATCAGACGGGTGGGTTTTCTACTAATAGGTTCTCATATTTGTATAGTTTGCAAAGCGTTTTCATATCCCTCATGACTTCTGAGCCTCGTGTGCTCTGTGGGACAGATGCCTTCTCCTCTCGTTAGAGAGGAAGAGCCTGAAGATCTGACAAATGATGTGACCACTCCCAGAGTCATTGGCCTAGCAAGGGGCAGGGGGGGCTTGAACTGGGTTTTCCACTTCCTTGGTTTGTGACCCTTCCCCTTGTCTGAGGCCCCTCCTTCACTCGTGAGACTTGCAATGCTGGCAGCTCAGGCTACCGTCTGAGGCAAGGAGAAGGGATGCCCTGTAGCAGCCTGGGGTATAACATTTGTCCCTGCCCTGAGCAGAAAAGGACAGACACACTGGCTTAGGAGTACCTGCAAAAATTGCTAGCCCCACTTTACTGATCCTGTGCAAGGAAAGGAGTCTACTTTCACTCTTCCTTTGTCCTTGGTTCTGCCTTCGATTCCTTTAAAAACTTTTATGGGAGCCTCGCGTCTCTGGGCCCTGCTGTAAGTCCTGCCCTTAGCAGGAATTTGGAGGCTCCTAAGTGACTGGCATTAATGCCCTGCTTCCCCTCTTGCACAACTCCCAGCTTCTCTACTGCCCGGTGATGGAATTATTGATTGGTAAGCATTTCACAACACATTTTCAAAACATGCTGAAGGTCAAAAATTAATGACTCATGGGCAGTCACACTTGTTTCTGCCTCAGCCTCTCTGGATTATATTGGTGAAGCTGGTTAATAGAAGTCACTGGAGAACCCGAGGTCAAAGTTGACTGTCCAACCCTGACCAGCGGGACCATTAAGTGACTTGAAGACATAATTCTTGATCTTTTATTTGGCGATTAATCTGCTGAATCACTTTGGTTTTTCATACCAAAGAATATAAGAGGGGAATGAGAGGATTTCAGTGCTGAATTGGCCACCAACTTGCCCCAGAGTATTAAAGTACTGGAGTACCGGAGAGGTCCTCAGCTGAAGAAGGTGGCTTGGGGCATAGGTAAGGGAGCACTTTGCTCTGATAGCTGGGATTCTACGCTAGCCCTTTGGAGAACAAAACCAAACCCCTGAGCCAGTCTTGGAAATACTCACATCTGTGCTCGAAGTCAGAAAGAGCTCCGTGTGAGACCGTATGGAAGAATGCCTTAGGACACAGTAGCAAAGAGAAATCCAGATCAGGAGGCAAGGGATCTGGGTTAACTCTCAACTCTGCCACCTGCGATTTGAATACACTGACCAATTGCTAGACCTGTGTCAGGACCTTGGTTTCCTCACGTGTAACACGGAGACGGTGACGAACGCTTTCTTTCAGAGGCTGCCTCAAAGGTCAAGTCCCTGACGCACGTGAACTTTTCCTGGTGCAAACCGAAATGCATGGGGCAGCTACGGCATGGTTCTACGTGGGCTAGTTGAACGTTTTGAGGGAATGAATATCAAGGGGATGTTTGTTTTCTTCTTGATATGAAAATTTGTTCTCACCTTTTTTTTTTTTTTTTTTCCTGTTTTTCCCCAGAGAGTAATCTAACTTGCAGAATTCGTTTCCGAAGGCCTTTTCGGGGGCAACCGTGGGACTGGAAATTTCTTTCGTACTAGTTCTCCTATAGGTTGTTATACTTTAAAGTACCTGAAGGTCCTGTAATTCTAATATAATGTAATGCCAGAACTAAGAGGTGTGATGTCGTGGAAGTATCCGTGACGTCTGTGTCTCCTGGACTCTGCAGCATAGCCCTTCTCCACATGCATTCCCGCACATTCTCCCTCTCTCAGCTGTGTGGGCAGCGTTGCTCCCCTGCTGCTGACTGGTGAATGTGCCAGTAAAAAAAGGAAGCGGGGGCACCTGGCTGGCGTGCCCCTCTTGATCATGGAGTTGAGAGTTCGAGCCCTGCGTTGGATGTAGAGATCGCTTAAAAAAAAAATAATAAAATCTTAAAACGTAAATAAATAAAAAGGAAGCAAATTCAGTTACGTAAAACACAGCCTGGGTGAGGAAAGGCAAGTATGTGTTTCGACTTGATTGAAATCGCTTTTTTTCCCACCAGTTTGTCCTCTTGTCAGGACATGTCAGAACTTACCGAGCCCTTGGCAGTCCTGTTCTCACCTCTTCGTTGTACTTAAGAGCAACCTAAGGCTTAGAGCCTAGAGGTGACTTCATCAGGGTCACAAAGCCAGCTTTTGGGGCAAAATCAGGATTCAAGCACCCATCTCCTGACTTCTCCTGTCTCCTATCTCCAGTACCCCACATGTAAGTGGTGACTCTAAAAGAAAAGAGAAAAAAAAAATAGAACTTCATTGGAATATCTTGGGTTACTGGCTTTCTTTTTTCTTTTTTCTTTTTTTTTTAATTTTTTTTTTCTTCATGTTTTTTTATTTTATTTTTGAGACAGAGAGAGAGAGCATGAGCAGGGAAGGGGCAGAGAGAGAGGGAGACACAGAATCAGAAGCAGGCTCCAGGCTCTGAGCCATCAGCCCAGAGCCTGACGCGGGGCTTGAACTCACAGACCGTGAGATCATGACCTGAGCCGAAGTCGTACGCTCAACCGACTGAGCCACCCAGGCGCCCCGGGTTACTGGTTTTCAAGGATAGTTTTATGACTGGCAGTAACAATGCCTCAAAAGCTATGGTAGCCAGCTTCGATGAACTTATGTAATGCGCACTTATCATAGAAGACGTGTCATCAAACACCTGCTAGATCTGAGCGTTGGTGCCTAAGTTGCTTTTATTGTCAAAGAAAAGAAGGGGAAAAGGAACTCGGCTGAACAAAGCTGGAGGACTTTTTATTAGAAAATTCGGAGGCAATTTCTGGAGGAACAGGAACACATTTCCAAAGGCTTCTAAAATGTACATCAATGGGATTGGGTGAATTTAGTAGTTAAAGAAGTGAAGGGCACTGAGGATCGTTTGGTGCCTAAGGCTTCTTTCAGACAGGTCTCTTCTGTTTGCCTTGGTCACAAAGCTCTAGGAGCCTCAAGGTGGGCAGGCCCAGAGGTTTCCCAGAGCAATGTCTGAGGTTGCTGGTTTCCATTCAGGCTTCCAGGCAAACACACACCAAAACACTCGTGGTTCTCACTGGGATCTCTTCTCGTTAGCGGAACATGACCAAAGTCGAAGAGACATGGGCCATTTGTCTCTCCACCTGAGTCCATCCATACAAAGTGGACTTTGGCCTATTTTGGAGGTCAGCCTACATCAACAGGATGGGACATTTGCCAAATACACGGTCACTTGCCTTTGGTTCCCCACAAATTTTTGAACGGCAAGAGCTGTTCATTTATTTACTCGCGTAATAGTTATTATTAAGGGCGCACTGAACTAGAAAACCTGTGCAGGTATAATGGGCTCTCTGCATCTCAGTTTTCTCCCCCGAACGAGACTATTCATTACCTGCCTTGCAGATCGCACCTTGTTGCTGGGAACATCCCATGAATGACGTGTGGAGCTGTTGTTTCGACTCTCAAGCCCGCCACGTAGGTGAAAGGTTGTTGCTATCACTCTGTGGCCAACAGCGTGCTGGGCACCAGGTAGGTTACAGAAGACATGTAAGAGATGGTCCCTACCCTCCAGGAACTTACAACCCCGCGTTGGGAAACTGAGGCACACCCAAACAAAACAGAGATGGAAGGCTGTATTTGCTATTCCAGCGGTAGCTCTGAGACCTATCCGAGGGCAGAGAAGGAGGAGCTCATTAACAGGCTGCAGATGTTGGGACAGCCTCTTGGAGGACGTGAGGCTTGAGTTGGGTGACAAAGTAGACAGAGAAGATGGAGAAGGTCTTTGTGGGTGTGGCATCACCGAGTCAGCGAGTGGAGGCTTTTCTTGGTAAATCAATCTACTTGGAGTCAGAACTCCCAACCAAGCTGGAGTTATGGATTTAAAATTTGAGGGGAGCTATAGGAAAGGGAAAGTCAGAGACGTTTTTAGACCAATGATGGGCTATAATGCGATGGTG